CGTGCACAAGTGTGTGGCACATGGATTTGCCGTCCCTGGTGACAAGTATAGGTTCTTGATCAGGCCCAAATGAGGGGAGCCCCCACCATCCGTCCCAGGAAGTCCCTGCAGCTTTTGCTACCAGATTCCCAGATGGCTGGTGCCAGGCTTGGTCTTCGGGCGTGTTAACGGTGCTGGCACAGCTGTCTTGCGGAGTGCTTGTTTTCACACATCATGCATTCCAGTGTGTATAACTTTTTTTGTTAGAAGACTTAGAAAGAGTTCATGTTTCCCACTGTAGACCCTATGAGTCTTAATTCAAATTTAGCCTACTGACATCTTTTGGGGAGCTTGTGGGATATCTTATTTTTAAATTGTACCAGCAAACTCTAGGAGATTCACATAAAAGTCCAGATTTCAGGCCTCCTCTTCATTGGTGGTTTGGCAACCGAGTGCCCATTTTGCCATGCGGAGCCAAGGAGAGGCTACTCCCTTCCCCCTCACACCCTGCCCTGGTACCGAGGCTGCATTTCAGTTGTCATTTATCAGCTCGTGCACTTGCAACCATTTTCTCCTGAGTGAAAAAAACAAAGAATAGCCCGAGAAAGCCACTGTTTCAAGAAACATGCACGGGCATACATGGAGTTCAAGGCTAACACATTCTTTCTTACACTTGCCGCTTTTGCTCATTTATTAAACCTCTTTGTGCCTTAGTTTCCTCATCTGTAAAATGGGGAGAATAATAGCACCTGTCTCATAGTGTCGTGAAGATTAAATGAGTCAAAGGGGGTAAGACACTCAGAAGAGGGCCTAACACATAGTAAATGCTCAATAGATGTTAGCTGCTCTTATTATCATTATTATTACTGCTGTTATTTCTGGCATATGTGTTTGCCTGCTCTAGACTAGGTTCTCAACTGGGGGGAGTTTTTGGTTGTCACAACTTGAGATGGGGGGATGTTATGGCATCTAGTGGGTAGGGCCCAGGGTTGCTGCTAAACATCCTATGATGCATAGGACAGCCTCCCCTACCAAACAAGTAACCAACCCAAAATATCAGTGGTACTGAGGCTGAGCAACCCTGCTCAGATATTTAAGTGTGTGGCTCTTGGTGTGAATGAACTCTTCAAACACATCTCTAAACCAACTTTTTCAGGGTTGCCTTGGGCTCTCGAATTATCAGAATTACTTAGCTCAGCCCCCCCATCCCCACCCCCCACCGTGGGGAGGCTTGAATCCTTTCCCAGCACCCTCACCGAGCACATGCTTTTGGCAAAGTAATACACTGTACATCAAACTTTTGGTCTGTTCTTTATTACCTTAAACTCTAGTCTCCTTGCCACTTCCTGTCCTTCATCCTAATAATAGCTACCATTTATTGAGCATTATATGTGGGTGATTGTGCTTAGCGCTTGCGGTGTGTTGCATTGTTCTTTACCATCCTTTGAAGCAGGTTCTATTATTACACCCATTTTGCAGATGTGTGGAGATTGAGGGTTAAAGAACCCAAGTTACTTGCTCAGGGTCACTCAAGGGTAGAGCTGGGCCTGGCTGCAGGTCAGCTTTGCTCTAGAATCCACATTCCTCACCACTGGTGTGTGCTTCCTGCCTTGTTCTGCCTGGGAATGTGCCCAAGAAAAAGCTATTGGCTTTTCCTCCTTGCAGGACCCCTGGGCACTGCTAAGGGACAGGTGCCCTTCTCTGTCAAGCTTCAAGACCAAGGCCTGCCCTGTGCCCGAGGAGAGTCTGGGCAGCCTGCGTGGAAGCCGTGTTGCTGACACAGTCCTCTCCCTTCTTTGTGTCGCATTAGCCTCCTCTGCAGGGGGTCCACAGGGCTACTGTCAAAATCCCAGGCTTTCTGCACCCCCGGCCACAATTTTAGCCCTCTCCCATAACACGTCAGCACCAGTTCAAAAAAAAAGTTTTTTCTCAGACACACAGGCGAGATTGCTTGCAGGGGTGGAACCCAGGGCAGAGTTTGGTGATCTGGGAGCACAGAGGGGCGAGTCCTCTGAGATCTATCCATTGGGAGGTTTCAGGGGAGCTAGTTTTTCTCCTCCTCTTACATTTATTGACCACTTTCTAAGTGTCACGCACTTCGTAAATATTTCTAGTTAGTTCTCCTGGCTTTTACAAAGTGCTATCAGTATCTCTATTTACTGTTTAGGAAACTGAGGCTTAGGAAGGTTAATCTGAAGGTCACGCAGCTGGGAAATAGCGGACCTGAGCGTTGAACCCAGATCCGGTGCACCCAGAAGTGCGTGTTCTTAATCACTGAGTTGCTTTCACCATTTCCTCCTTAGGCCTGAGCTTCGAGATAGGTGCTGCTTGTTGGGGGAACTTTCCTATTTGAGAGGTGCTCAGAGGCCCCTTTAAGGCCGTCACCTGTGGGAGCTGGGGATGGGATTTTGGGATTTTAACAAAGCACAGTCCCTGAGGCCTTAGAACCAGGGTTTGTGTGGGAGACCTGAGCAAACACGGGTGCGGTTCTGTCCCCCAGGGCTCTGAGTCCGGCTTCCCCAGGAAATGGGGCTGGTGGCTTTCAACAGTACTTTTCCTCTTGCAAAGCAGTATCTTTTTACAAAAGCGGCCTCTTCTCCTTCCTGGCACCCCAACCCCCCTCCACAACTGGGTGGTAAACAGTGAGGTTCCGCAGTCCCCAACTGTGGGGGTGCAGGCGATTCCCAGCATGACCCTGGCCACACTGGACCTGAGACTAGCCCTTTGAGTTCCTGGGGCAATCCTTGACCCCTCGAGTCCCCGGGCAGGGGCTGAGTGTGGGCCTGGAAGGGAGGTGAGAGCAACGTGCTATGGTGACGCAAGATGAAAAGAGCCCCCCTTTCCCCCAAGAATGTACAGTGTGATGACACCTGGCAGAAGTGTGTATATGGACAGATGACAGCTGGGAGAGAATATGGAACCACAAAAAAATAAATTATATTTATTTTAAATATTTAGACACTCTTTAATATTTTTTTTTGTAACAACAAAAGTTACAACAAAATGAAAATAAAAGTCAAATGTACCCTCTCCTCTCTTGCCAGGTTTGCGATGCCAGCACTCTAGGACAGGTACCCAGCAGACTTTCTTTCTTGCCCTGATGCACTCCCTTTCCTCTGAGCTGTCTTCTGCTTCCCGAGGGTCCCTGAGAGCTCTCTCTGACCCCCCTGCCCTTATACCATTCAGCATCACCCGCATGTACAGTTGGATCTTCCAGGACCCTCCCTTCTTTGCATGGGTTCCTTATTTGCTCTTTAACCAGTTGCCCAATTTTTATATCCACTAGTGTTCATGGCTCAGGGCAGGGTGGTTTGTTGGGTTTTTTTGCTGTTCACTTCTGTGTCCCTAACTCTGTGTCCTGGGAATCTAGGGAGAACATTGAGTCCATCCCAGTCTGGAGTTGTGGAGCTGACAAGTGGCCAGGCAAGGACCATGCAGTGGGATACGGGCAATTATGGAGTGGGTGCAGGATGCTGTGGCTCTGCGCCCCAACCCAGACATGGAGGGTGGCTGTCAGGAAGGCTTCCTGGAGGAGGTGATATATCTTTGCCCAGTCTTGGAAGATGAGTGTGAGTGAGCCAAGTGTGAATACAGAGGATATTCCAAGCTGAGGAATCAGTATATGTCTCCTGCCCACCCCCAATCTCTGTGCCAGCCTTCCCAAAACTTTGAGACAGCACTCACACCCCTCTTCTCTGTCATGGAAATGGGCTGGCCTACCAAGTAGAGATGTGTTTGTAGAGACAGAGATGTATCCTGTGTTGGTAAGTTCCTAATGAGACATGATTTAAAGATGAGGCCCAAAATGAGGGATGTCATGATGCTGCCCCTTTCTCCCCACCTGCACGGGCTGACACCTTCCCTTCTTGCGCACAGGCTCTTCAGTTCTTGCTCGTAAACCTACACAGCCATTTCTTTTCCCAAGTAATCACTGGTGTGGGGTTCCTCCCTTCTCCTGCCCATACATTGCCACTTCGCTCTGGAGTTCCCCAGGGCAGGAGGAAGTGGTGGTAGGGGTCATGAGTCTGGTGACCTTTTTGAGGAGGAAGGGTATTTTTAGGTTGGATGCTACTGTTATGATGAATAATGCACCACTCGCCACTGCAACTCCAAGGGCAGGTGGGCGGATTGCTGACTGGTCCTGCTGTCGGGGACTGAACATTGGCTCTTATGCCCCATGTAGTTGAGTGCCATTGGTGCCGAGAAGTCTGGAGTTGCCAAGCAATGGATTGGATCTGACGCAGGAGAGCACTTCTCTCCGTGTCCCATGGCATGGGACAGCTGGAGAGAGACGCTTGTCCAAGCTCTATAGACAGGCATGCGAAATTTAAGCGCACGCTTTGTTTCTCATGTTTGTTGAGTCATCCTGTTCCTTGGTTGAGCCACCAGGGGGTGCTGTTGGCACAGGACAGCTTGGTTGGTAGCCCGCCTGCTCATCTGCTTAATATAGAAAAAGCTTGGATGTGGCCGCTCTTCTCCCACAGAGTAGAATATTCCAATGTTGATGGTTTTTCATTAGTCTGCTCACATTCGCCTTCTGGAATTCTTCCTCATACTTTTGCAGCTTAGGGTGCCTCTATCCCCACCCCAAACACACACAGACACGCACATTGGAGGGCTTACCTTTTTCACGCCTTGTCCTGACACGGGGCCTCTGAACTATGTCCGTAACAAAACTGGTCACTCCCTTCCCTTAGCTAGATGCGAAGTAGGCAAGGATTTAATAAACTGTTTACCCTTAAGGTGTTAGTGAAGACTGAAATTAAGCCTTATAGCCTAAGGGAAATTGCTGGCACTTCTAAGTGTGTGTGGGGATGTTTCTGGAAGATTGGGCGCGTAGAACGTTAAAGGAGGGTGCAGCTTCATTCATGCCGCTGGTGTTACCCGTGCTTTATACAGAACTACTGGGAAGATGGTGTGAGGCAGGCGGGTCTCAGGACCCACTGAGGCCCCTGTGAGGTTCTCAGGGACCATGTGACTTGTGGGGAGCCTGACCGCTTGCTCTCCTCTCCTTCGCCTAGACATTCACAGCATGGTGCAACTCCCACCTCCGCAAGGCGGGGACGCAGATCGAGAACATCGAGGAGGACTTCCGGGATGGCCTGAAGCTCATGCTGCTGCTGGAGGTCATCTCAGGTGAGCTGGGCCGCTGGCCTTGGGCGTGCCAGGTAGGGGGGGCCACCCTGGCCCAGGATAAGGGGCTGCCTGCTGGGTTCTGCCACTTGGGGAATGCTGCTCTCTCGCCGGTCATGGCTACCTTTGGGTCTCTTGAAAGAAGTTGGGGGTGACATATATGAATTCAGACGAGGAGACTGGGTTTGGTCCTGGCTCTGCTGCCTACCATCCTTGTGTCCTTGGACAAGTCCCTGCCTTTCTGCCTCAGTATCCTCATTTGCCAAAAGAGGGGGTTTGAAGGCTAGTCTACCAGGTCCTTCTCCAAAATGCTAGGATTCTGTGGTCAAGAATGCAACCATGGAACCATCTTAAAATCTTGGCTTCACTACTTCTTATCTGCCTATGTTCACATGATCCCAGTCCCTTATCCATCCCCCAGCTTGGAATTTAGATTCCTGGATATCTGAAGGGACAGCTGCCTGAATGCACACTCAGCTTTCCTAAAAACACCTTTCTTCCAGCACCCATTAAAGGTTTGTAGTCCTCAGTATTCTAGCCTTGGCTTAGACCCTGGGCAATCGAATCCCCTCTCTTCACTTTACCTTCCACCTTGATGCCAGGGAGCCCCAGACCTAGTCTCAGTCCAGCCTTCTACCTCGAGCCCCTCTTAAATGCTGGACCACACTGAGCAACTCCACCTAAATATCTCCCAGCGTCCACTCAGTATGTCCAAAACTGTGCTTACCACTCACAGCCCCAGCAAACCTCTTTTTCTTCCTGTAGTCTTCATCTTACTCCCCTAAACCTAAGTTAGGAATCATAGACAGCCCTGCCTCTGCTCTTCTTTTCAACTTGGCATTCACGTTTTGTATATTCTATCTTTTCCTATTATCCTTTTGCTACCGTGGCTATCGTGGTGGTGTTAGTGTGGGTCCATGTTAATTGTCACCTAGTTGATGCCACAGAGGCCTTAGACCACCTCCCGGCTGCTCCTTTCCCGCTGCAGTCCATCATCCACACTGCAGCCAGAGGGTCCATGCACCGGCCCAAATATGGTTGCACGGTTCCCTGCTTGAAACCCTTCGGCGCCTCCCCAGGGCCCTGCGTCTACAGCCCACATTCCTTAGCATAGCTTGCAGGATCCTTTGTGAGCTGGCACCTGCTTTGTTTTCAACTATGTATCCCCCAAAGGGCCTCGAACCTTAGGCCCTCTGTCCTGCTGGAGACATGCAGTTCGCCCAGATGACATGCTCTCAGCGCTTCATGCTTTTGTATAAGCTCTAACTGTCTTTTTCTTTTTAACCCCAATACTTTTGTCTGTTTCCCTTTCAGGTGAAATCTGTGTTTGTGTGGGGGGTTGGATTTGTATGTGTTTGTGGCAGGTGGTAAAATATGCATAACATACTATTTTTAAATGTATAGTTCCGTGGCATTAAGCGCATTCACATGGTTGTGCAACCATCACCACCATCCACCTCCAGAACTTTTTCATCTTCCCAAACCGACACTCCACACTCATTAAACACTAACTCCTCATTCCTCCCTTCCCCCAGCCCCTGACAACCACCGTTCTACTTTCTGCGTTGATGAATGTGAGCACTCTAGAAACATCATATAAGGGGAATCATACAGTGTTTATCCTTTTGTGACTGGCTTATCTCACTTAGCATAATGTCTTCCAGTTTCATCCATGTTGTAACGTGTACCAGAATTTCTTTTTTGAGGCCGAGTAATATTCCATTGTATGTACATGCCGCATTTTGTTCATTCATCATGGATTAGCACTTGGGGTGCTTCCCCCTCTTGGCTATTGTAGATAATGCTGCTGTGAACATGGCTGTACAAATATCTGTTTGAGTTTCTGCTTTCAGTTCTTTTGGGTCATATTTCGAAGTGGAATTGCTGGATCATATGGTAATTCCATGTTTAAGTTTTTTAGGAACTGCCGTATTGTTTTCCTCTAACTGCCTTTTAGAGTGTCCTTCCCAAATGCCTCCCCCAACATTTCTTCATTTAAACAAAGAAACAAACCTGGCATTGTTCTTTTTTATTCTTCAAAACTCAGCTCAGGCGTTTCCTTCAGGAAGGCTTCTCTGAACCCCCTAATTCTGAGAAACTGCCCTCCTCTGGGCTCCAATAACACCCCATTAATTCCTCTACCGTGTCACTTACACGTGGTTTAATCAGTTTGGCCCATTTCTTTTCTTCCCTACTCCATGCGGAGGTCCTTTCAGCAGGGACGGTCTCTTCTCTGTGTCCCAAGTGCTTGGAACTGTCCTTGCCACGTAGGTGACCCTAAGCAAAAACTGGAGTGACGGACTGCCCTACCTGGGCTTTTCTGCATAACTAGCAGCACGTTCCCACTGACCAACCGGCTTGCGCCCAAGGGGGCACCTGTGCACGTCTGTGAAGTGGGCTCATCTCTTTCCTAGGACTAGGGGAGATCAAGTTACTGAGACGTTGACTTTTCCTCCTTGAACATCTCTGGAGATGGGTACGATGACAGGGGAAGGAAGGGGATGCAGCCTGTAGGGGTCCTCAAAGTATGGTCCCTGGACCACCCACACCAGAATCAGAGACCCCACTCCAGACCTTCTAAATCAGAAATGTAGGTGGCATGGAAAGGGGGCTGGACATCTGAAGGTAGCAGGTTCTCTAGGTGGTCTTGTGTGGGCTGAAGTTTGAAAACCGCTGGCCTTGCTGCTTCCACTGTCCTTGTGGAGAAGTCCCATTCCAGTCAACGTGCGTGGCGGGTGGGCCAGCTGGGAGCGTAGACTCAGCAGGACCTGTGGACAGGGGCATTAGTGGGAGTAGCCTTGGTGGGCATAGGAGGGGACACACATGGCACTGTCTCCATCCATCCTATGGAAGGGAGCCCCTGCAGCATCTCATCTGCTCAGGATGGTGGGGTGCCTTGCAGGAGAGGCAAGGCAGCAGCCACAGCCTTGGGAAAGCCAGAAGTGGAAAGTCTTGATTTAATAATAAAACCCCAGCTGTTCCTCCCTGGGAGCTGCCAGCCAGGCCAAATTGCATCTCTGGCAGGAAGTCTGTTCTCTAAAAGCTGGAGGACTGGAGGCCCCTTGAACCCTGTCAGCCAGACCTGATGTTCCTGGGGGAGGGGGCCTGGGCCAGTCTAGAGACCATGGCAGGTGCAAGAGTCCTGAGTTTCAGGCTCCAGGATGGTGGTTCTCAGCCTTTCGGGATCCCTGAGCTCTTAGAGACTCTAAAAGCCATGCTTTCCTTCCCCAAGTGTGTTGCACATAAAATTTTTTCAAATCATTTCAGGAGTTTCTGGACGCCTTTGTACTGAGATAAAAATATATTCTTTTTTTTTTTAAGATTTTTATTGGGGAATTGGGGGATGGGAACAGCGCTGGGGAATTGGGGGAAAGGGAACAGACAAGTTGCTGTTGTTTTGTTCTTCAGTCTAGTTGTGGAGGAC